CATTTGACCATTCTTGTCTATCAGTATATTGCTAGAAACAGGCAAGAAATTTGCTATATAAATATTATGATGACTGCATACATTCAGATGGTCAAATAACAGAGAAATGAAAGGAAAGAGCAGATAGAAAGATGGCTGATGATAGCATCAATGGCGTGCAATATCTGGTTTCCCCCCTTTTTTTAGCAATTCTCTGCCTTTTTTTTCCTTCCACTGAAATTGTTTCAATGTTTGGCTGCGTCTCAAGATTTGATTGTTGGGTTTTTTCTGTTTTTCAAACACAGATGTTGGAGGTCAGGGACCTTCCCCCTGTGCGATGGAAGCCATGTAAAGCACAACAAAGCTACCGGGGACAATGTTGGACCTTTGCTCTTGAAGAAGCAGTGATGATAATTAGTTGTTGTGGTATCCTTGTTTTTTGAGAATAAACACGATTACAAGCAATTCTAATGATTTCATTATATGGATAATGTTAAACTTACTTCCTCTGATTCCATGAGGATTGACTACATCTTTTTCATATACACCATTGAGGTCATTGTGCAAGTATTTGACTGGATTTTAGATCTAATTAATCTCTCCCGCTCGGTCCACTCCGCGTGTTTTTGGAGAAAAAATTGGTGATGCATGTTCATTTGAATTTGTCTTTTCTCTTAACTAGCTATCAACATTTATGGTAAGACACTAGGAACTAATTCACCAAGAAAATAACAACTTTGAATATCAAGAAAAGAAAGTAATCACCGTTAGAAATCTTGTATAACATGCATTCTCATATGTTTCTATGGGTAACAACTTTTTTCTTTTTTAATAAAAATTTATTAAAATGACGTAATTTTTGGATAATTTCTCTTCTATTTTTTAGGAGATAAGGCAGATAGATATTATTTTTTTAATATAAATAGTTAAAAAAATTATTTCTTTTAATATACAATACTAATATAATCTTGAAAGAAATAAAATAAAGGAGAAAAATTTTTAACTAATGTTTAAAAAATATATATTATAAAAGTGTATTATTAAAATTAATTAAGAAAGTTAACTACTTAAATAACTTAATAGTTATCTCTTTTTATTAGAAGTAAAAAATTTTAAATTCAAATCGCATAAGATGTAGATAAAATGGGATAAGAAATGAGAGATAATTTCTTTTCATTATATAATTAAGATAAAAAATAAATAAGTAATTAAGAAGGTATTAATATTGTGGTGCATATTCTTTATAAATGCTAAATTCTTTATTATTTACTACTGAGTCACTAAAACTTTTATTCAGTGGCTAATCAACCCCTCAAATTATCGTTTGTAGCAAACTACCAATGAGATCAAATTGTGAAATTGGACAGCGAGACAGGGAGGGTCACGCAAACCCAACACACTCGACAGTAGGCCCGATTTGAGTTGAGACAGCCTAAAAGGGAATTAAAGGATGAGTTTGAGAAATGGGTTGGACCCATTTAAAAATTTTGGGTCAACCCAAATCGATACACAGTAGACCCGATTTTAGGAGGCAAAGATTTTCCGTGATTAATGGCATCCAGAGTCCAGACAGAGTGTGTTCTCCACACGTTCCTTAACCTACTTTTCAATCCACTGAACAAGATATTTGCCGAGAGCGCGACGGAGAGAATTGTGTCGATGGCGTCGGCGGGGAGCACGATCGGCGGTGGGTTATGTTTTGGAAGTCCATCAATGGTGGGGCTGAAGCAAAGCCGCAGGAGTTCTGGTAGGCCTCGGCGCATGGCGGTGGTGGTTAGAGCAGAGGGTCAAACCATAAACCCTGAGATCAGGAAGAGCGAGGAGAAGGTGGTGGACTCTGTCGTCATCACGGAGCTCTCAAAGCCCCTTACTGCTTATTGCAGGTTGGTTATTGTTTATTTCTGATTACTTGTTTCCTTTGTTAATGAAGGTCGCAAATTTTGTATGTTATGGGGTTTGTGTTTATGTGAATTTAAGTTGTCCCATTTCCGCCCACCGAAAGTTTCAGTCTTTGACTGCTTCCATGGCCTTTTGTGCTAAGAAACATTATACCCAAATTGAAGTGAGTGCATTTCTCCAATGGGGAGCATAGCGGGAAGCTATTTCTCCAATGGGGTATTTAATGAGCATAGGAGGAAGCTGTTTACTCTCTGAAAGTTAAATTCAAGAGAGAATTGACCACCATGGATAAGGATAGAAGAACTTGTTAAAGATGGTATAGAGATTAGACTTAGGAGAACTGACAGGGAAGATATAAGATATCTAAAGTTTAAAAAAACAATTATGAATTATGAATTATGATTTACCATGCCTTAAGCCTTATGCATGAAACTTAAAGATGTTACTATTTCCATTTCAATTAATCTGAAAATTGAAACAACTAGTATAGTATTATCTGTATATTCTTTGGAGTTTGGTGTTTGGACATGGTTCACTGCCTCCTGTGTTAATTCAGTTTGAATACTTGGACAACGTCACTGTGCATTTGTGTTTGGTGGACTTTGCTTCCCTTCAGGGAACAGCGGATGGTCAATTTTTATGTTGCTGATTTTCATTAGATTAGGTTCTGATATACAAAGACTGGAAGAGGATAGAGGAGTTTGCTGGCTTGATTACATTTATAAAACCCTCTGGAGTGTTCTGTTACAGTCCTGCTTGATTTGGATAAATGTAGTACAGAATAATTCAAGCCACTAGAATCCTTTGACAATATTAATCAATCTCATCTGCAGAT